AAATCTGATCTGTGTGATGCGACTGTCGTTCGGCACGCTGCATTGAGCAGCCGCGTTCAGTTTTTAATTGTAGTGTCTGTTCTTTTACTGAACTAAATGATTTTTATTACTATAAAAAATCAAAACGACGGTGGGGGTCGGTGACGCGGTGGGCAAGTGACATAACCAGTGTTGCGGCTTAACACCGGTATCACCGTCAGCACCGTCTATCGCGGCAAGCCTAGACTCCAGAGGTTTTGGAGGGAAAGTTGGCCAATGAGATTTGCCCGGATGCTTGTGTTGCTGTGGGCGCCCCTGTGAGGCCTGTGCTTTTGGCTGGGCATGCCATTGTCATGACAATAAAGCTTGCAGAAATTACAATTTGAAAGGCGATTGTGATTAGGAAAGAAAAGGAGCGGCTACGGAAGAGTGTTGGGATTTAACTGGAGTAGAAAATGGGAAGGGTGAGAAAATAAGGAAGGAGGGGAACGTGAAAGGAGAACAGGGTGATTGCCAGCTTGCGTAGTGTTTACTTGTGTGGGGCGGCTGGGTTGTCTGCTAAAGCCCTGTGATCTAATAATTATCAGTGTTTGCTAAGGTAAGCGTCACTACTACTGTTTAAACAGACCCCTAACCCTAACTACTAAACTTTAGAGTGTGACTCGTCCCACACCTATAGAGTCCTATAGAGATTAGTTGTGTGCTTTTTAAGGACAGGTGTGCTAATACGTTTTGCTATTATACTTGTAAGGAGGACCTGAGGAATATCTAGGGTCCAGAATGTCATCGAGATTTCAAGGTGAATCTGGGCAGGACGCACCCACTTAGCAACACTATAGCAGCCACCTAAAACACTTTTGCAACCGAATAGCAATTCACCCGAATATCATGTACCAACTTTTGCATGGGCAAAAACTGTTCTGGCATTTTAAGGTGTCCTTGTTGCAGTTTAATTATACATTTAAGTACTGAGTAATATTAATTAACTACATGCACTTACTATATGGTTAGGGTTAGGATTAGGGTTTGGCTTAGGGGTACTTGCAAGTAATTATGCATGATTAATTGTTATTATAATAGTAAGTACATGTAACGTGCAACAAGGACACCTTAAAATAAAGTGTTACCCTATTCGGATATAGTTTTTTTTGTCGAATTTGTACTTTGTGTGATTTTAAGGAATGTTTTAAATTTTCATTAAATTATATTTGGCGTCAACGACTTCTGCATGGGCAAACTGTTTTAGGAATTTGCAAAAATATATATATTTTTAAATTGAAATACTTTGTGTGATTGTAAATGAATCATTTTGGCCATACGATGAATGGAAATAGATTTCATTTTTGATTTTTTAAATTTGATTGTAAGAATTCTTGTTAAATTACATTTGGCACCAACTACGACGTGTGCAAAAAAGGACAAAAACTGTTCTTAGGAAAATGCAAAAAAAAAAAAAAAAATATATTTTTAATTAGATTATTTGATGCTTTAGTTTAATTGAATAATTATAATTTTATTAAACTACATTTGGCATCAACAGATATACTAGTACCTTTATGAAGACTTGGGGGTTTGCAACTCCCTGGTTGGAAAATCCTGGAAAAGTGGAAATAGGGTGTATATGTCTGCTATCAGAGAGGCATTTCATAATTGTCTCGTCTCAGACACATCTCATCCGCCTGCACCTGAGCACTCAGTGAAGCGCACAATGTTTCTTGATTCCATGTTGCCAAGCAGACCGAGACAGAAGGATGATAGTGTGAGAATTGGACTTATTAAACTACATTTGGCATCAACAGATATACTAGTACCTTTATGAAGACTTGGGGGTTTGCAACTCCCTGGTTGGAAAATCCTGGAAAAGTGGAAATAGGGTGTATATGTCTGCTATCAGAGAGGCATTTCATAATTGTCTCGTCTCAGACACATCTCATCCGCCTGCACCTGAGCACTCAGTGAAGCGCACAATGGTCTTGATTCCATGTCGCCAAGCAGACCGAGACAGAAGGATGATAGTGTGAGAATTGGACAGACTGGATCCTGTCACAGTTTGGTCGTGAGCCTAATTATCTGTTCTAGCTGAGGCGCAAATGACACTTGGTGGAGCGGATGGGAAGTGCGAGACAGTCCGTATCCGTCATTCCTGACGGGACGTGTGATAATAACCGCCACTCACAGCGTTCTTTTCCAATAGCCTTCCCATCAAAACACTGGAGAACAGATAGAGTCACACCTCCAGAAATGGAGTTTGAGGGTTTTTTCCCTGCATGTATTTCACATATTATTCCAGTTTAAGCACATGAGGAAAATATGTTTATTGTGGCACAGTGGCAGAGTAGGATGTTGCTCTGACTAGGGTTGGGCGATGTCTACCAAATTGGCCTCGGATGATGTCTACAGTGAAACATCGCGATGGACGATGACATCGGGGAGGAGGAGGAGGGGGGGTTTCGTCATCAGAAGTGTCCGCCGACATGTGCGCACACCGTCAGAATGCGGAAAGTGAAGTATATAAAATAAAAAGTTATAAAATAAAAATCTTTTATTTTAATTTTATTGTAATATATTTATTATCCAACACCCACAATCTGACCCACATGTTCTAGCCTATTTAATCTAATTGAGTTTAAATAATTTCGAATTTTGTTATCGAATCTAGCCTATAATATGTTTGGCGTTTTTGCACAATAAAACCTTTAAATCAAGATGCCGGCACAACATCGTGATGTCTGTCGTCTATCGGCCCAACCCTAGCTCTGGCCTTTCCCAAGAAGAAAAATCTGGAATTTGCAGGATGTCAACAGGTTGTGGATTTGTGGAGGGTCGGTGTCTTGTGGACAGCAGGGGGCCGGTTGGCAGGGTGAGAGGTGAAAGGTGGAGGTCAGAGAAGCAGGAGGTGGTGTTGAAGGTAAAGAACAGATGTAGTGGACCTGAAGAATAAAGAGAATGAAAGCATGTCAAATGTTTAAAGTTCCTCTCTGCCAAAACGGACAAAATTTATTGTGGTGCTGTGAGAAAAGCTTTCTTAACCTTTGAATAATGAAGCTGTTTTTAAATGTTGACAAAGTCATTTGATCAGCTAAAACTGATTGAAACTGGCTGGTTTGTCTTTTCTTCGTAGCACTACTGGTAAAACATGACGGTAGCAACATCCAATTTGAATTCTTGTACTAATTAAAAAAATTATGTAAAGCTAACATTTCAAATAAAATGAAAAGTAAAATTAAAATGAGCTTGAATGCTCTAGAAGTTACTCTGTCTTCCAAATGCGTACATGTATAAACCATAATAATTTGGAATATTTAGTTGGAGAGCTCTTCTGTCTCTTTTTTCTGCATTGCTCTTTCCGCTTTCAGCATGCACAGCTTAATCTTTTGCACTGCTTACTTCAACTCCCCTTCGCATTTTATCTGTTCGCAATTTATATACTAAAAGTTTAGTGAGACTCAATTGTCCACTGGTCATGCTATAGAGTTTCCTAAGTGTGTATGTAAAAAAAAACTGATCCACATGTGTTGGCTTTCTAACAGGACTTGAGTGGGAGCAGGCCTCGTTTTTTTTTAATTTATATACTAAAAGTTTAGTGAGACTCAATTGTCCACTGGTCATGCTATAGAGTTTCCTAAGTGTGTATGTAAAAAAAAAACTGATCCACATGTGTTGGCTTTCTAACAGGACTTGAGTGGGAGCAGGCCTCGTTTTTTTTTCTTTTTTTCAGTTCGTCTTTAATCGTACAATAGAGGGAAATACACAACCAATTACAGTTAAATAACAGTTGGACAAACAGAGGCCTCCGGAAGAGCAAGGCAATGAATACCGGTCCCATCAATCAACGGCAGAGTTCGTTCTAAGGCCGCACCGTCGCGAAAGACATAAAGGAAAAGGTAATTGTTTCCGGAGTAGCGAAAAAAGGAACAATACGGGAACTAAACGTGTGTAGGGCAACGTGCCTGGGGAGAGAGTTTAGACCTTCAAGCACACTCCAAACCCCTTGAGGACTGAACGCAAATCATATGACTTTCCCTTCCTGTGGTGTGTAGTTCAATCTGCCATACACATTCACAATAAGACACGAATGTGCAGGAAGAGATGTGTGTTACTACGAGAAAGGTGGGGAGTGTCTCTGTGCCGATGATTATTTCTGACAAGTCTGACCATGTTTTTCCATACCTCTCGCTTTCAAAGTTTATGTCTTTTTGAATGCTTAGTAAGCTGTTTATCTGTCTTAATTCATAGTTTCTGCCTAGATGCAGTAGGTTGTTGTTTGCACTGTAGAATCATGGGATCTTCTACAGTGTCAGAAGTTTATTAGTGGTCCTTAAACTTCATGCATTTGCATTCACTATTGTCACAGAAGTGGATCATGGTGTACTGGCCAAATTATTGAGCAATTTGTCCAGGTTTTCACTGAATGTGTTTGTGGTTTGTTCTGAATTTCTGTGGTCTGGGTTTAATCATACGGCTATGTTAATTGCCCAGAAATCTAATATCTGTGCTGGTGTTGCTCAAACTGTATCATACAGATTGTACAGTTACCATCTGTATTAGCAAGTGTTGATGGCTTTTTTTTAAAGGCAGTTTCGATCTCATTTGAGTCATTGTGTATCAGCATCAAGGCACCGGTGATGTTACTGTGCAGTGCAGCGTTCGTCGTCGTTTATCATTCTACCCATAAGATTACGTGAATTAAATGGATAGAATAACTTCCTCGCTCTTTACTTCTCATTCTGACCTGATTGGGGCGTTTGATTTCTGTTCATCTCGGCTTTGCTCTCAAAGCAGTCTCAGGTGAATTGAAATGGATATAGTTGGTATGTTTTGCTTAAATGCACATATCACATATTGCTTCTCATAACTAGTGGTCAGCTAATATGGGTTTAGAATTTACCGAACAAATGCAAATTTAATAAAAAAAGAATTAAATAAATATAAAAAAAAATTAATTATATGTTCGAATATGTTTAAATTTTTTTTATATATATATGAAGTAAATGTAAATTTAAGGAAATAAATAAATATCTAAAAATACTATATATATATCAATAAAAGTTAATAAAAAATAAAATCAATTTAAATAAAATCAGTACATCAGTAAAAACTATACAATTTATTTATTTTTATTTATTTACCAAACAAATGTATTCTTTTCCCCTCCGCTCTGCAGAGCCTCCAACCAAAAACCAAAACTCTAAGCCCACCCTGTGCTCGGTGCACCCGGGTGAACTGCTCAAGCTCAACTGCCCGCTGCCCGAGGCGGCCGCCATCGTCTGGACCAAAGACGGCTCCTCGCTGGGCCCTGACAACCGCACACTCATAGATCAGGAGTGGCTACAGATCCGCGATGCCACCCCTAAGGACTCGGGCCTGTATGCGTGCAGTACCGCGGGCTCGCAGGCCGGCGGCATGCTTTGCTTCATCGTAAACGTTACAGGTGAGACACTTGTCTACCACAGGTGGCGCCATCTGCTGAATGAGACTTTGATATTCGTAGATGAGTCTTCGCACGCCTGAAATTGAATGGTTCTGTTTGTCTGTTTTCATTGCATTTTTACAGTTCATCACTCACTTTACAATGCAAGGAAGTGGAAGATGTAGTCTTTAAAATGACTTTCGGATTTACGTCCTGAGTTTGAGATTTGATTGTATTGTTTTTACAACATTCGTTGGCTCTGTAAAATGAGTATTAAGATTGTATTAGTTGAAATGCCTGATGTTAGCTTATGTCTTACACTTTTTGTCATTGTGTTGTACAGACATTTTGTCTGTCTGATTTAACACGTTTAACACACGTTAAAATATTTTTGACAGTAATTTTTTTATTTAAAATAATATATACGCACATATAAAATTAATACATAGAAATATATGTGTATGTATGTATATATATATGTATATATGCACACACAAATATATATATTGAATTATTTTATTAATTTATAAATTAATTATATAAATATATTTATAGTTATATAAATATTATGTAAATATTTTATTCAGTCAGTCAGTTTAATTAAATGAAATACATGATACATTATGAATGCAAATACATTATGAATGAAAAGTACTTCCTTATCTCCTTAAGTATCTCCTTTGTTTATTTTCTTTGAATTTGCATGGACACAATGATTATTCATAACAAATGAATGACAAAGTAAGGCATCAGTGCTAAAACAGATTCACATTTTATAAGATTTGTGTTAAAAAAATAAAGACTCCAAACAACAAAATTAATACTATAAAAAAAGGTACTCTAAAATTGTTCTCTAAAAGTTTTGATTTGATGAGCTGCGTTCAACGCTTGTTATTACTGTATTAAAGGTGCTGTATGTAATTTTTTAAATAAAATAAAAACACCATAATACATTCACAGGTATTTAGGAAATATGCTAAATTCAAAAATTCGAAAAACAATGCTACAGCCAGTTATTCTACTTTGAAAATGTGCATTCTGTGTCGGAATGTCTGTTTTTGTTTTGGTCTGTGTGATTCCGCCCACTGCCAGTTTAACTAATATTATTTTGACACACCGGGTTGCCAGTTGGTGGAAAATACAGCATATTGAAGCCATGGAAGGTAGCAAACGGACTGGCTAGGAGATTGCAGATTCTACCCGCCCTAAAAAGCCTCAGCGTCCATCTAAAAAGCTCTATAACCAGAGGCATATTAAAACGTGGATACATCAACTCATAAACTTACAGTGTAAGGCTCGTTGCCTTCCATTTTCAATTGCGCTCATTCCTGTTGCGTGTCCTCAATCTGACAACCTGTGTGAGCGTCACGTCTGAGGAGGAGGTGGGAGAAACAATATTTCGAATTTGGACTGCAGTACCCATTTCAACCGTTAGCTGTCAAGACTGCATACTGCACCTTTAAATGCATCAAAAAGAGAAAATATTTGATTAGTGATTGTTAGCATAGACGTGAGGGTGTTGTGACGGCAGGAGAAGCAAAGCACGGTTACAGTATTCCCGGTACTCTCTGCAGATGCCATCTCATCCGGTGACGATGAGGACGACACGGAGCGATCGGACGATGTCGGGGTGGACGGTGAACAAATGCGTGAGTATCGGGACCGGGGACCGAACACCATTTGTCACAGAGTACCATGTGAAATGCACTTGTATTTCCGATGTCAAATTTAGATGCAACACGGTTGCCATACTGTTTTTATATTAGCAAAGGTATTCGTTTTTTTTGCTATTTTTGTCATTGATAGGACAATAACAAAAATATTGATAGGACGAGCCTGTTGTTCAGTATGTCACCAAGAATTCCAGCACAGACACATTCCCAGAATTCCAGGCCTTCTCTTTCCTTCTTCCTTTGTGTCTTTGTGCTCTCCATTTCTCAGGTCCATGAGGGGCCTGTCTGTAATTTACCTGCTTAGAGATGTGTTTTGATTTGAGAATGGCAGGGAAAGACCTGAGGTGAAATAGTAATGAAATATAGAAAAAAGAGAAATTCCAAAGATGTTAAAACCTTGTTAATAATCAGAGTGTTGCAAGGATGACGTATATTTGTTGGCAAACCTGAAATTAATTGGTTTCCTCAACAAAAAGCCCAGGATTTTTCCATTGGCTTTTAGATTATTGTGGAAAATAAGCTCTGTGACCAACAAAAGTTTATGATTCTTATGATTCTTCTTGAGCTTGTATTAACCACAGACCTTATTTCAGGCCAAAAACCCATTGACTTTGGAATAATGGAATTGTAAGTTCAAAAATGGCAACTTATTTCCAGTTTCAGGACTCATTTCTTCAGCAATCTAGGTTTTTTTTTTGGTCATGGTTAACACTAATCGCTTCACATTTTTGAGAACTTTATGTGCAAGAGAAGCCGTGACAGGTGAGGAAAGGATATTGACTGCATTTCCACTGTTGAAATGAACGTCATACCCAACAAAATCTGTTTTGAGTTGTGCAAAACTAAATATTAAAGAGAGTTGTTGGAAAGAGGGGTGGAGCGAGGTCTTCCAGCTAATGGGCTCTGGTTTGGATCTGTACCAACACTTTTTTGTGTATGCTTTGGAGGTCTGGCCTTTGGCCGCGTACGTGGGGGGATTGGGGTTGGGATGGAGGGGTGTTTAGCATTGTGCCTGGGGTGGTTTCGGGCTCAGTGGGTTGGATTTCTGCCCAGCTAAACCACTCAGAACTCTTTGATATTTCTGTGCAAAGGGGCCTCAACAATAGCAGTCTCAAAAACAGCAATTTTCCCCCCTCTCACGAGAAAGTTTCCTTTATTTTTGAGAGGTTTTGCCTGCATATGAGGTGTGCTGGAGTAGACAACACTGTGATTGTTTAAAGTCTAAAGGTCTGGTTTGCATGTTTTTTTTTCTTTCTCTGCTTAATATGATGGAATTGGCTGCTGGGATGTTTCAGTGTTTCTGTTTACTGACCGATTTTTTTGCAGATACCAGTGGTATTTGAGTTTTTAAAGAAAAATGTCAATAAAGGTTCAATGGTCAGTCCATCTTTCACTGGAGGTCACCTGTCTTGGGGTTGCCCAGGACATCCGACCCTATTGCCCCAGTGTCTGAGGGTCATTCCCATCTTTGTTTTCTCAAAAGGAGACATGTAGTCTGCTGTCCTTCAGGGCGTTGAGGTCAAAGAGAATGACCGTTATGAAAGAATTCCCACGAGATGAGATGAAAAAGTTGGGTGGTGAGGAAAGAAAACAGACAGACAGATAGACGTTGAAGAAAAGGGTTGAGTTGAAAACCAATTAGCATGCCTTCACGCTGAAGGGAAGATGTCTGTTTACACGTCTGATATCAAGTCGTTTGCAACCTTCCGGTTAGCATGTCTGTCGAACAAAAGAAATTGGATGTGATGGTCCAGTTCCTTCTTGGCAAGCTGCTGTGCTTTTGGACCGACTTGTTTTATCCCCCTTTTCTCTTGTGTTGCTCAGAGCAAACGGGAATATGTTTTTATTTAAGCCGCTCACTGTGAGTTGCAGGGTTCCATTAAGCAGATGGGCGGTGCAGTCATGCAGTGCTACGAGTGTGAATAACTGTTTTAATTTGCATCCGTGGTCATGCCTTCCTGTTTCCCCTTGCTGAGTTTCAGACGGGCTCCTGCTTTCTGTCTCTTGGCAATGATGCATTTCTTTTGGGATATTGGGGTTGAATCAGAATGGACCTCAGATTGATTTGCCATGTCATTGCATTTTTTTTGTGTCATTGAATCAGTGTCATTTTAGCATTATTTATGTGCTATTTTTTATTTTAATTTTAGTTTAAGTAATTTTGTTATGTGCTTTTAAATTTTTATTAGTGTGTATATATATATATATATATATACATATAATGCATTTATTTCAGTTGCTGCCTTCATTGATTTAGCAGTTGCACAAGGTCATGTTGCAATTTTGATTTTGAATTGATTTGTTATATGAGCCTAATTCTGATTTTCAGAGCTCCAGAGAGCTAAAATCAAACTGATTCATCTTCAGTCTACTGTACAATCCAAAAGCTACTGTTTCTGGCTTTGATCCTACGTTTTTCCATAAAAATAGATATAGAAAACACACTGTAGATGTCAGGGACTGATATATGAACTGCTGAAAGTTTGCATGGAGGTTTTATGTGATGCATATCAAAGCTGCATGTAATCTTAAAAGCTTCGACGCATCAAAGAAATATATATAGGTAGTGCACTGCAAGTGTGTGATTCTTGTTGATGTTTGGATGATGCAAATGGTTGTAATTGCTGCTTCTTTCCTGCAGTGGCACCATATTGGACCTCGCCGGATAAGATGGAGAAGAAGCTGCACGCCGTCCCCGCGGCCAACACTGTGAAGTTTCGGTGCGCGGCGGCGGGAAATCCCAAGCCTGAAATGCGCTGGCTGAAAAACGGAAAACCCTTCAAACAGGAGGATCGCATGGGTGGTTACAAGGTAAGAGATCTTCACTAATGCCGGATGAGAAATGGAACTCATCATGGTAAATTAAAAAATGCTTAAATACTAGTGCTTTTCAAAGAGGTTTTTAGAAAGCGAAATGTGTACATTTAAGTATTTTTTTATACATGCAGATTTACATGAGTCAGAATTGTTAGCACGAAACAGCTGGTGAAGCACTGACTCTTGGTTAAAGTGTAATAGATGTGCGGGACGACTGGCCGATGTACCCCGATCAGTGTCTGTTTGCACTTCCTTCTCTGAAAACACAGCTGATCCACACAGAAGGTCACTAATGAGTGAGCTGCTCACGCTTGATTGATCTGAAGACTCAGATATGAGCCAGTGTCTGACTACAGGCTCATATCTTTTGTTAATATTTTGAATTAGATTAGATTTTTTTTTATAGTTTCTGCATTCATGTTAATTTTAGTTTTTAAGTTATGTTGTGTTTTTGTCATTTTATTAGTTTTAGCTTTTATTTTTTTTCTATATAGTTTTTACACATTTTATTTCAGTTTTAGTGTTAGTTTTTTTAGTACATCAAGATAAAAAAAGCGAAAATTATGAATGTTGCCTATTTGAAAAAAAGGTTTACGTTTTATTTCTATTTTTTTATTTCAATTAACATGTATTTTATGTTTTATATCTTAACGAAAATGTATTTTAATGATTTTAGTTGTAGTTAACTATAATAACCCTGATTATTACTGCATTTTTAGAATATACAAAGCAAATCTTCATGAAAAAAGTCTCCACCTTCTGCCTAGAGTGCAGGTTTTAGTCAAAATAAGATCTAAAATTCAATTCAATTCAAGTTTATTTGTATAGTGCTTTTCACGATGCAAAGCAGCTTTACAGAAAATGAAAGTTTCTACATTATATTCAGTAATAGCTTATTAAAATGTTTTCTAAAATAAATGAGATTATGGATAACGTGCATAAACTAAAGTGCCTCAGGTGGGTGAACCCTTATTTTGTGGTAATTTGAAGGGTCTCAAAAGGCCGAGGGTTGAGGAGTGAAAGTCTCCATGGAAGAGACGCAGGATTTTGTGGCCTGCAGTCACGAGAGCTGCATTCCTGGGGTGGGGGCGGGAGCTCGCTCGTCTGTCGGCACGGCGATATTACTTTTCCCATGGTGCTCTTGCTCAAAAACCCCTCGTCTTCTGGGACAATTTCTCTCTCTCTTGTTAGTTCTGTCAGTGCTGCTGTCAGATTTGCCCTTCATTTTGTAAGACGTCACACACTGGTGTGAAATTGAGGATGATGGACGCTTATCTAAACCTGGAGTTTTGTTTGAGATGAATTTGAGAATAACAAAAACAACCACCTGTGTTTGGTTACACGATTCACGAACTGGGAACATTGCATAAACAAGTGACTAAACTATTCTGAATGTGTTCTGTTGTACTAAGTTTGTTTTTTATTTGCCCCGTTCAGCTCCGACTCCAGCACTGGACTCTAATCATGGAGAGCGTCGTTCCCTCTGATAAAGGAAACTACACCTGCATGTTGGAGAACGCCTACGGATCCATCAATCACACCTACACGCTGGATGTAGTAGGTGAGTCCTGTTTACATGCGTTTAGACACTTCTTTTTCCTAACAGGCTGATTTGGACACTGGTAAACAGGGCATATAAGACTGCTGTGGGTACCTTTGGGTGGACAGCATAGCAAATAAAGTGTGTGAGTGAGTGCATATTAAAAAGAAGAAAGAGCAGGGATCGCCCACCCAAAAATTAAAATTACATAATCATTTACATAGTGATAGATCTATATATTGGCCAGGCCAATGGGACAGATGAGGTTTGGCCATTCTGAGAATATAGACATTAGCCGATAACCGTAGCTGATTAGCAGACCGATTGGCTGCCTTTATTTAAAAAAATGACAGTAATATTGCAAAATATTATTACAATTTTCACAATATATTTCACAACAATTATATTTTGAAATGTAATTTATTCCTGTGAGGCAAAGCTGAGTTTTCAGCATCATTACTCTAGTCTTCAGTGTCACATGATCCTTCAGAAATCATTCTAATATGCTGATTTACTGCTCAAGAAACATTTCCTATTAATATCAATGTTAAAAGCAATCTTTACAGTGACTCTACTGTCACTTTTGAGCAATTTAATGCATCCTTGCTAAACTAAAATATTTATCTAGGTATAAAATCATTGCCAGCCATTAAAAATGAGTAATGGTTGACCACTTATTTTCTCTTACATATGGCATGGAAGCTATATTTCAAGTCTTCTAAATCTAGTCTGTTCTTGTATGTATTGTGAACGTGTCTATCATGCAGCTTTAAAAGACTTGGAAGGCTTCATTTTCATTTTTTTGGTGTGAACTGTCTCTTTAATTCACAGCTGTTTGCACTAGTTTATTGTTTGAGTAGACCTGCCCCATCTAAACCTAAGAAACCAAGCTGTATTTTTGCATGCACACGCCCATGAACATGCAGACACGCCAGACTCACACACACATATATACATGCTCCCTATTTAGGGCCCCTGTTCTGGGTTAAGTAAAAGCAGTCTTTCAGAAAGTCTCTGTTTTTCTTTTCTGTTTTATTGCAAGGCCGTAAAGCCCTTTTGTGTCTGGCTCAGTCTAATACTCTCATCAAAGAAAGTAGGCAGAGGATAGAGGGATAATGCTGTTGTTTTTCACTTTAATGTAACACTATCCTACCTGGGAAGTCAGTGAAAATGACAAGATTAGATAAAGAAGGTCAGAAGAGAGAAAACGTTTTCCCTGTGCTGGAATTGGAGTCTCGCTGACCCTTCGAAAAGGTCAATGAAAGTTGCGCCAGTCTGAACTGGCCTGCATTTCAAAGCTGGACTAAATACAAAGCGCTGACACTTAAAAGAGCCAAAAAGACTCTTAATTATCGCTGTTTATTGTGGATGTCGGCCAGATTCCAGAAACTTCTACTGTAGATCACTTCCAACAATAGCTTCTTCTACCAATTTGTGCACATATTATATAAATATTTGAGTTTAGGACGCCTAGTCACCATCCACTTCCACTCACGGTTTGCTGCCATTAGAGCTTGGCAATAAATCACAGTAATTTTAAGTCATAGTAACAGTATATATAATAATATAGTGGTTTTTGCTAAAAAATTAATAAGTTCTTTCTCATCTTGACTTGTTTGGTACACATATTTTTGCATTACCTCATGCTTTTCGTCAATTTTGTTAATATGTAAATAATATAAAGTACTTCTTTGCACTGATAGCCAATTTAAACACATCTTCTGCATTATAAACCATACAGCAAAAGCTCTACTGACCGATGTTTCAAACCACCAGACCTATTTGGCACAGTAACTTAGTTCATCTACACCCTGATTTCTCTCTCAACCAATCCCGTGCCACCACCCCAGCAACCCCTCCCTGACTGTTTTTGGTCCACGTATGCTAGGGATGGAACGATTACCGGTTTCACGATAAATCACGATAAAATGCCCTGACGGTTAGTATTACCGTTTAAAATTTAATTATCATCAAAACCGTGTTGGAT